GTACTATATAGGAAGATATATATATATAGTGAGAGAAGGAGTGAGTATGGTATATATTATATGTATACAATAGTATGAATATATATAAGTAGTTATATATAATATAGTCGATAGATAATAGAATTATATACTAGTAACATAAGTAGTTATATATCATAAATTATTTAAGTATATAATAAAAATATAATTATATACCATTAATTATACTATACATTGATATATCAATATAATAGGTATATATAGCAGTATTATACTATAATATATATAATATCATATATTCTAGTTAGTATCATACTATAATATATTATACATACAATTAATAGATACAGAATGGGAGGATAGGTATATATATAGTGATAATGTATCATATACTATTATTAGTATTATTTTACTCATATATAAGGTATTCTCACTAATATATATATCATTGATATTATACAGAGAGTATACATTATATATATATAGTTATATGATTTACTGATAAGCGGGTAAATATATAGTGATATATAGTTATAATATAGAACTATATATATAAAACTATAGTATATATATCAACACTTATAATATATATAATAGATATATAATATATATATATACCTATACAACTTATTCTTAATAATATAATATATATATATATATATAATATATATATAATATATATTATATATATAATATATTATTATATATATATATATATATATATTAAATATATATTATATATTATAATATATATATATAATATATATATATATATATATATATATATATAATATATATTATATAATATAAATATAATATATATATATATAATATAATTATATATATATATATATATTATTATATATATAATTATATATATATATATATATTATATATATAATATATATATATATAATATATTATATATATATTATATATATATATATAGTATATAAATAGTATATATATAAATATATATATATATTATATATATATATATCTGTATATAATATATATATATATATATCTATATATATATATATAATAACAAATATAGATATTAATAATATTAAATATATAATATAATATATTATAATATATTATATATATAATATATATATAATATATTTATATCATATATATATAAGTTATACAATATATATATATACTATATATATAATATAATATATACTAATAACTATATATATTATTTATATATTAATTATTAACTTTGTATAGCTACTTACAGTATACGTATATATATAACACTTATAGCTATATATATAATAATGTATATATATGGCTAATATATACAACTATACTATATATAATAGTATAATATATATACATAGGGTGAGGGCGCTTATATATATACTTATAGCTATATATGGGTATATATAGTATAATACCTAATATATACTATAAAATCTATTACTATAGTATATTATTAAATGATAAGAGTAGAAAGTATATAATATTATATATATATATAAAAAATAAGAATATGATAAGGGATATATATAGTATGTTTATAGGGACGGGATTTAGGATTGATAGAGAGAGTGAAAGTAATAGTATATATATAAAAATATAATATTATTATACTATAATTAATATAAGTACTAATAGTGAGTGAGAGAGTGAGAAGTATAAGTATTTATAATACGTAGCTAGATTATATAGTATATATAGGCTCACACACACATATATGGATAGAAACGATGGTTAAGTATATACATATACCATTATATATAGAGTACATATATTATATTACATTGTACTAATATATATTGAGGTATTCTAATATCACTAATATATTACTCACGTAGTATATATAATATAGAGCTCAATATACGACAGTAATATATATATATATATGATGAGAAGAAGGAGAAAGGGAGAGAGAAAGAGAAAGTAAGAAAGAAAGAAAGAAACAGAGAGAGAGATAGAAGGATAAAAAACAAGCGTGTGATAAATAAGAGGCTTTCCTTTAGGTCACAGTTGACTCTTATTAAACTCATGCACTTTCCTTTGTATCAGTAACTATATCATTAGTAAGTATTCATAAGATATATATGTGTCTTCCACTGACCTTTAGACTTTGGCTCACTTACGAATGCTCACCACATAAATTCTGGAAAGTTAGAACTTGTGTTCTTCCTTGTTGATGTATGATCTAATAAGGAACCATTCCACTATCTAAATTGTAAGACTATATATGGCAAAATCTTGTTGTCCTTTGCTTGGGTGTTCAAGGCACAGACACTGCAGTGATCACTTGACACTGCCACAATAATTATCATAATAAGAATCAAGATAATTCAGATGGAACACAGCCAGTGGAAATATCTTGTACAATTATCTGGTAAACACTTCACTTCAAAAAAGATAAATGAAGTGTCTGTAATTTCTTTATAAGAATTTGAATCCTTAGAATATAACTGCAAATATAACTCTAATTTAGAAACCAAAGTTACTGCGTTAGTCTGTACACCAGTTTCCCGACTCCTATATTTACGAAGGTCAGTATCTCATTCAGCCAATGATTTGTAAGCAGCCCTTTGAGTTATACTCGTAAAACTGAATTTGTAATATTTTATCAGTCATGATCTGAAGTAAATCTAATGCCCTCTTTCTCACTTCATTCATAGAGTAACCCGATGAACGTTCATTAAACCTCAACAGTCTATGTGAACAGGCGACTTCAGAAAGAAATGAGCAAAGAACACTTTAAGCACGATATATTACAAAGGAAAAAATGCATTCAAAGCGCACATTCTATACATGAAATAAATACAACGATTACTGAATTGCTAGTAATTTAAAAACTGCATCACACGTTGCATTACCTAGGTTGGAAATAGGCAATCGGATCCTATGTTGATAGGGAAAAGTGGAATATCAACAACAGACGACCTACGTTTGTTTACATCGATGACGTCATGACCCGTTTTCTTTTGGTGGATACGGGACTAAAGAATTTGGGGAAACGATTATATTTTACGTCTTTAGTCGTTTTGTTAACTATTGTGGTTACTTTTTCTTACCTTATCTCTTTTTTTAACTACTGTTCTATTCACATAATTATTACTGTTGTCTGTTCTAAGTGATGCTAATGTAATTGTTGCTAACATTATGATTCACAATATTATTTTGATCTTATCGCTATCATAAATATCATCATTAATACTATCATCATTATTATTATTACCATCACTCTCATTGTTGTTATATGATCATCATTATAATAATAATTATTATTATTACTATTACTATTTTTTATTATTGTTTCATTAGCATTATATCATTATTTGTATTATGATAATACCATATTATAGTTATTTTTAGAATTGATGTTTGTTATTGATTTATTACCATTAATTTGCAATTGTTATATAATAATAATGATAATAATAATAATAATAATGATTCTGACATTAATAATAATAATAATAATGATAATATTAATAATGATAATGAAGATGATGATGATGATGATAGTAGTAGTAGTAGTAGTAGTAGTGGTAGTGGTAGTGGTAGTGGTAGTGGTAGTGGTAGTGTAGTGAGTAGTAGTAGTAGTAGTAGTAGTAGTAGTAGTAGTAGTAGTAGTAGTAGTAGTAAGTAAATTAGTAGTAGTAGTTAGTAGTTAGTAGTGGTAGTAGTGTGTAGTAGTAGTAGTAGTAGTCAGTTAGTAGTGTAGTAGTAGTAGTAGTAGTAGTAGTAGTAGTAGTAGTAGTAGTAGTGATAGTGATAGTGATAGTGATAGTGATAGTGATGATGATGATGATGATGATGATGATGATGATGATGATGATAATAATCATTATCAATGTTATCATTAGGCCATGAGAATCAAAGTTCCTGTTTTGCATCCCGACAACACCCGCCCAAAAATTCCTAATTTTCAATAAATTTCATTATTTACCCCAAAATATTTAATGACTTTGAAATTCTGTTCTCTTGCCATGAGAGTATACTTTACTAGTATATATGAATGAAAAGTGTCATGATTATCCACAAGAACTAAGATGATTTGATGACTTTGAAAAGCTGTTATTCTTGCCTTTAAATGCTTGTAGAAATAAATAATGAATAATGATAAATAGTCACATCAGTTTCCATTTTTACAAGACGTAAAACAGGAACTTTCATTCTTATGGCCTTATCAGTCATAATCATTATCATTACTATTATTTGATACAAACACAGCATTGTTCTGTTGCAAAATGAAAAAGTCATGGAATTATATGAAAAAAAAAGTATATAATTCAAAAATAAGCACTTGGAACATAAACTATTCATCACTGAAGTTTTAGATAGAAATAAAATCATTATACTATATCATTAACACTGAGATAAGTGCAGTAAATCTGTGAAATAAATAAATAAATAAATGACCCCAAGCAGTAAGAAGAAGAAGAAGAAGAAAGAAAAAAATAAAAATAAATAAAAATAAATAAAGGGACTTTACATGACAGTTATTGGCTTCTGTTCCTTATAGTGTCTGAAAATAAATCACTATCACAGTCTTCAAAAAGAAGCAATTGAAATACTGCAAATAGACAGGAAATCTGTTCTCCAGATTATCATTTAGTCTGCTATGTATTTACACAGTAACCAGGTCTGAATTCTTACCCTAAATCCAAAGGCATGCTGTAAATGACCTCTAGCACTCATATAACTTGAAGGACCGATGTGGTAACCTGCACACTAGTTGCAAGTATTTCCATGCACTGGCAGATTTTCCATGATCTGTTATAGTGTGACAGCAACATGTAGAACAAATTATAAAGAGTTGGGGTGCATGAAAAATAGAATCATGACAAATCCCTTAACCTGTAGGTAATGCAGTCAATTAATACATATTGGATGTAATGCCAAGAGATGTTTACAAAAACATTCACTGGTAGAAAGGAATATATATTTCATGTAAAAAATCATGTTCAATATATACTATTCTCAACCTGCACAAATATGTGGATGGTCATATCAACAAAAAAATGTGATAACAACAGGCACAATGTAAAAGTACTTTTATTTATCATTACATGAGCCTTTTTTGGAGCATGCAAATGTTGCAATTAAAGAGTAAATATACAATAATATCATACAAGTTAATACATTCTATAATTGAATATCACATTCCAACTTGCCTTAACATCCCACAACCAAATTGTAGGTATTCTTAATATGGATGTACAAATTCTATGTAACAGACTTCTTTCCTGACTGATGATGTATGAAATGAAACAAGACACTGTAATGTCCCTCCAGCAAATGGGTCTACATCAGATTCTGGGATAATATTTACCTATTTCTACTACCTAAATGTCATTATCAATGTTGTTAATTTTCATGACTTAAAACACTTCATGCACTTTCATAATAAGCATGTAAATGCAAATTAAATATGAGCAAGTGAGAGATATCTAGTTATTCTTGATATTCAAAAAACATTTTATAGGATTTATATTAATAGCTTTCATTCTATTTTTGTATTTCTAACTATTTTGCTGAAAACAGTCCCATTACTTTACTTCTACTCTCAAAATCTTGATTCACACTAACACTTAGGAGGCAAGAAGTTTTATTAGCAAAAGATATGTTATTTTGTACAAACTACCAATCACAATCCAGCAATGCAGATTTTCGTATCCTCGGTAAAGGTTTTCCATAAACTGAATACATAAATAATAAAAATTCAAAACAAGAAAATATGTATTTTCATATAATGTCTTCACCTTTATGATCCTTTACTTTTATTTGTAATAGCTGGCTACAGTCAAAAGGATATGTTTTTTCTCTCAAAATCGTGTGAAAAGTATATTCTTACTGAAGTAAACTATATAATTTTGTATAAGGTGTTTGCTGTGTTGTTATCTGTAAATATATTTTTCTCTTGCCTTTGAATGAACATGCTGTCCCACTCCTCACATTCTCTTGTCCTTCTTCAAATTTCCATAAAAAATAATCTTTCAACATTTAAGGCAAGAGCATCATACATAATGTACACAGACAGGAAGTCTGTAGTTAAATGTATCATTATGAAAATATAACACTAAATCTAAGCAGAATACAGTTACAATATGTCTATATGTTTTTGTTTTGGCATAATTATTTGGTTGTTAATATGGAGAGAGCTTTCATGCATGAAAAATAGCCAAATGAGCAGCATTTCCTCAGGTAATAAACATGCCTTCCAATAAGCAATAAAGTTGAAAAGGAAAAGGATGCACAACAACGGGAGAAAGAATGTAGACTGGGACTATAACACAGAATTTCCATAAAATTGATACATTTTATTATAAACATTCTCACTAGACTGAGGACTGAGTTTTCAATCCTTTTCAGACACAATGAGTTTATAGCTACATAATATGCTTTCTGTGCTGCAATTAGCTTCATAAATAGTTAACAAAGTCTATGAATATACTTAGCACAGAAGAACAGACACATAACCTCATCACACAAGGAAAACATGACTGAACCATTCAGGAACAAACACTTTTATCTGTATCATATCATCACACTCATACAGTATATTGTTTTCACTCAAACTTTCCATTTTTTGTCAAGCTCATATGCAAATCTGTCATATGCACTGTAATCTGTATATTGCTCCTGAAAATATACATCTAAGAAATCCCAAAATCAAAGTAATAATATACTGATTACATTTCGATACCCATGTCATTTCAATAGGAAAGAGGGAGAAAACCCAAAATCACAAAATGACAAACAAACTCATGTCACAATAGGAGTGTATGGAGAAGCTATAGGCCCAGATGGAGTGAATATGTAAACAAGACGTCGGAAGAGGGCGACAGCAGTGGCGGCATGATCGGCATAAGAAGGCTGGCAGTAAGAGTGTCAAGGGATGCCGAAGGGGACCACCAAGTCCTCCTTGTGGTCCACCTTGACTTGGGCCAAGGCTGCTACAATCTTCTGGGTTGACGTAATCATCTGGATGGGAAGGAAGAGGATCATGACTACTTTCCTGATCTATATTTCTTGCATAAAAACTCTAAATTATGAAGACATACACATTTCATGGTCTTGTCTAACCATGCTCTTGTTTTAAATTTGGAAAACAATAGCTGAACAAATATACTCAAATTTTCTATCAAAGGGAACTCAAGAACACCTCATTAAAAACACTGCCCCTAATATAACCTTCCAAGTACATTTCAACACCTGAACTTTATAATTAGGATAAGTATAAAATCTGTGGGCAACAAAATATGTGAAGTTATAAAATAAAAGATACAAAAGCAATATGATACTACTAAACAACCTACAAATTGATAAAGTTACTTACCATATTTAAATCAGATGAGCATATTGGTTGAGAAGATAATATTCTTTCAGCTGCAGGAACATCACAGAGGAGTTGTCGCTCAACATTGGGTCTTTGAGGGACCTAAAACAGAGTAAGCAAAAATTGTACAACAAGCACCTGAATTGGTTAACCAATTAGCTTTCAGTGCTCAAACAGCAGTTGCTCAAGAATATGGAACATAAACATTCAATAAGAGCAAAAAGTTAAGTTATAGCTAATCCTCTCACTCAGGTATATTGTAACATTTAAGGTACCCCTGAAGAGCCAATTTAAAGAGAACGTGGCGGATCGAGGGGTGACCCTTACAATCGTGCAAGGCCACTAAAAACTTCCAACAAAAATAATCTTGTGTGATGTGATATGTATGCTTACACTTAATACTAACATTTTGTTACTTAAGTAATATAAAAGTAAAATGATTAACGATGAAAAACATATACAAAAATATTAATATTGGTCAATCTAACTGAATAAAATTTATTTCACCTGGATTTACTTAATTTTGTCTCCTCACAATATCGTTATTTTAAATCTTCCTTCTATCTTCCTTTGTAAGTATAAAAAAGAATTTTATATATGAGGAGAGCAGAGGTTTCTTTAACTGTTTTTCTGGCCATTTCAAATTTTCTATATCAGTTTCATTTTAGTGCCATCTGGCCTTTACAGCAGTGCAGTCTAACTGGTAAAAATTAATACATTTGTACCTTATTTGTAGAGAGGACCTGAAGCCTCTGGTTATAGGTTCGCACTCTCTCTATGTATTCATGCTGTTCTAAGGTGTGGCACTCCAGGGCGCCAACATCTATTATGTTACTGAAAAGATAAAATACATAGAAATTCTGGTAACGACAGGCTTCTAATCACATTTTTGATAGCCTGCTTCCTTTTCAAGCTTTCATATAAAAATGTTTACATCCATATATTTCATTCTTGCTTCATATTGTAGATACTATAGTATTTCTGACATTATATGAGCTTATCACTACAGAGCAACTTACCTCGCAGTCTGCTGAAGGATTCGATTAAGGGCTGACTGTTCATCTGATTTCTGATTGGCAGAAGTTGAGTAGTGATTTCCATAGTCACTGGTGCTAAAAAAAAAAAAAAGAAAGGTTTGAAGAATGATCATGCACTTGACTCTCTTTTCCTGTTCTATATATACCATGAAAGACAAGTATAGACAAAGTCAGACAGATAGAGAAGGATGGATGGAGAAACAGACAGACAAACAGTTGTGTACAGCCATCAAATATCAGTAATGATACATCGTGTCATATCAGAATACAACAAAAGCCACGTGAAAAGATACTAGCAAAGTGAAAGAATATGGTTGAAATTCTGGACTAAATGCTAATTAATGTACCTTGCATTGATTGGGTAATTGTTGCTGACTGGATCACCTAATAACTGGGTTCTCTCATTCACTTCACCATCCTGAAAATATACAATACAATATAAAATGTAAAATACTAAAAGACAATAGAAATGAAATAATACTGTACCTAATATTTTTACACTTGTGAGTATAAGTATGCATGTGTATCCTTTTTTATTCTTATAATATTCCAAACTATGGTTTACATACAATAGATTTTTTATATTATGTAAGTGGTATAATTCTAGAGAAAGATTAACTTTTCATATTGAGACACAAACTACAGACTGCCTATTTTATACAAAGTAAACAGAGCAGTTATGTTACATGGAAAATAGTTAATCTTTTCATGATCACAGAAACTGATAAAGACACCATATAGATTGGAAATAAACTCCTGCCAAAGTGAATCTTGCTAATAAGTAAAAAAACAACATTGTATCAATCAATGAAAACAGTGCTCTTGAGACAATTACAGCAGTCTAATGATCAGCGACTTAAAAGGTTTACAGCAATTGGTTATTCTTTACAGTATAAACACACTAAGGTAGGGTAAATTGAAAATGTTGTTCTTGTTGAGGAAAAAAAGTTGAAGTGACTGAAAGAAGAAGATTGCAGAAAAAAGCACTGTTCACAGATTATGTCCAGCTGATGCTCCCAAGTTTCAGCTCCATCTTGCCTGTGCATACTGAGGTGAAGATAATGATTCCCAGGGGTGATGGGGGGGTAAATCCCCTCCCATCAACCCTCCCCTTGGGTAGTGCCTAGTCATGGCAACTTAGACTGCTGAATAAATTTTGTGATATGGAGTTGGGAACCTAGTCCTTGGCAAGTGCGTCTGTACTGTAAAGAATTACCCAGCAATTTACAGGATAATATCACTGTTTTAATCATCAATGGGGTATATATTTACATGATGACTATTACCACTAATGTTATTTTCATTATCATTACTAGTGTTACTGTGATTCACCACCATGTTTGCTTTAGAACCAAATTGAAAAAACAAAAAAAAAAACTAATATACAACAGTAAGATTCTATGACATTTCCTTCTTGCATTGCATATGTAGTAGCTTTCTAAATGGCATTTTTATCTTGTAGAAATATTCGCTGTTTTACTCCAATCTACTTGAAACTTAGGTACTTTTTAAGATATAAAAATCATAGTTTTCATGACATATAGTAAATGGAATTCCTAGATTGATGAACATGAAAATTCTCATCTACATTTACATTATATAGTGAAAATAAAGAAGCTGTTTAACAACAAATTAACTTTACAACTTCTGATACTCAACTGCTGGTGAAAAACAAGGGATGTGAATGATGTAACAGTTTCTAATTGATGTCACAAATTGGTTTAAACAACGCCTGAATATATGTCTTAATTCCATGTCACTTTTATGATTGATGTTGCTGGCTTTTGGACACTGCCTAACACCACTGGCAAATATTGTTTTCATCTCTGTATGCATGACAAATAGATCTGAAACTCAGGATCACTGAGTGGATTGAATGGCATTACCGTTCCTGTTTGCAGATTATTTCTTGCACTGACCACAGTGACTTTTCATCCTCTATAATAATATTATCTTCAATTTGCTTTGTGCATCTATACTGTACAGCTTTACCAATTCACCTATATACAAAAGCCAGTCAGCCTTACATCAACAGGCTAATCTTAGTCAAGATCATTTGGTTTACTGTGTTATACACCAAATGATTCAAGTCACAGTAGGGCACTTCCCTGGAAAGGGACAGTACTGGTTGTGGTAGTGTATACAATGATGATACCCTCTGGAAATTTACCACCAAATACAAAAGCAGATGAAGCCTCATTATGCCACAGTATGAGTTGGATGTTTGTTAGCCTTTAGGACAGGGAGGAAGATAACACAGAGTGGGAAAAGAACAATGGATTCACTCTAATGACATTAACATAAATTATAAAAATGTATATATATATTTTTTGTGTGAACCCAAATTCTTTTACAGTAAAAATTTACTGAAGCTTGCTGTGGTCTATGATGGATGGCCTAAAATCTTATGTACTTAAAACAGCAATGACAGTCGTCAAGCAAGTCTTATAGCCTCCCCAAATCCACCAGGGATGCTACAAGCTTAGTCTGCCAGAATATTTGTGGTCACTGCTGGAGCACCTACAGATATGGAAGCTTTGGAAGCCAGTGAGTCAAGTGATGGATGTATAAATTTTCTCTAAACATTTTCTAAATATCTATTGCATATCACAAGACAGTCAAGACCAGGTTCACTTATATTTTGTTCTTTCAACTGAATTAATTTGGGTGTTTCATCCACCTGGGAATATACAGATTATATACCCTTATCTACGCATGTGCAATTACCTAAATTTAAGTATAGAAAACTACAAGGAAGCTGGCAATAAACTATATAAAGAAAGTTAAGGGTGAACTTGATGAAGTCATCATTTGTTTCGGTGGTTTTTGTTAAAAAGTAGATGATAAGTCATCAGCAGCCGTTGAAATAATGTGGATCCAATGTGATAACTGCTTCATATGGGTCCACATATCTTGTGATCCAAAGATCCTAACTGAAGAAGAGGAAGACAAGGACAAATATCTAACTGAAGAAGAGGAAGACAAGGACAAATATGTGTGCTCTGTCTGCAGATGTGTCCTCTCTATCTCCAATTTAAGGGAGGAAAGTTAGGCATATTAAACTGCCTAATAGGCCCTTACATCCTAGTACATGATTTTTTGAATTTTTAAACATATTTTAAAAAGTCTAACCTGGGCATATTTGAAAACATTGTAAAAATATATGTAGTCGATAATCATGTTCTCGACCTTGACCAAGATTTGCTGTCAGAAAGACCAAAGAGGGTGCTGGTAAGTGTGTGTGAATTTGGAATATATTTTAATTTGGTATTAGTCTAATATTGTGCTTGTTGCTCACTCCCTTGGCCTATTTCCAAATTGAGCTGAATTGGAAATAAAACTACAAAACTGTGAGAATTAGTGCACTTCACACTTTGGATCTCTGTCCCTGGCAGCACATAGCATCAACAACAGGAATCAATCCCCCCCCCTATAAAAGTAACTATTATAGCACATGTGCAGATAAGGGTATATGGTGTGTCTACACTTGCAAGTGTTCCATTCAAGTATCATAAGAAGCGCACTGTAAATCTTACAAAAAATTATGAAGGAGTAATTATTATCCAGGACAAGAATAATTTATGGAGAATTAAAGGTACCTATGACAAAAAAAACTAGATTACTATTTTCTTGTATGCATTTTTACCACAGAGGAATTAATCTTTAACCACCGAGCACCATCTGACATACACAGTAAACATAGAGCAATCCTGAATGAGCAAAATGAACATAAAAATTGCAAGGCTGAAGAGCTGGTTGGCTTTGGGAACAAAACACCATCAAACAACCTGGCTCCCATCATATTCTTCGCAGCAAAAATACACCACTAACCTGGGCCACAGACAAATCTTTCAAACTTTGTACGGTGTAGTTTACTAATATTAGGAAACTTTTCAATGGTATGGAGCTCGGAAAATTGGTTGTCAAGTATATATGGAACATCCTATCAAGTAAAGATTATGAATTATTCACAGAAGATTTTTCAAGCTTTAAGTGGGTGTAACTAGAAACAAAGCCAACCACAAAAACAAAAATCATGTCGTAACTAAATTCTGTTTCGAAAGTCAAGGTAACATTCACCTTCCGTTTGCATCTGGGATGACCTCATAGATGCGTTTTAAGTACGTAATGTGGGCGGTGTTTACAGACCTCACTCAGCATCATCA